AAAAAAATTTTGGATTTTGGAGCATTTCGGATTGGGGGATGTTCAACCTGTACTATATTATTTCAAAACTCCTTTCTGTGTCTGAAGGTTTATGATTCTAATACAGAGGTTGGCAAATTATGGCCCATGAGCCAAATCTGACCTGCCTACTTTCGTTAATAAAGTTTTATTGGAACACAGTCACACTCATTCATTTAAGTATTGTTTATGGCTGCTTCCATACTACAATAGCAGAGTTTAATAGTTGCAACAGAGATCATGTTGCCTATAAAGCTGAAAAGTTTTACTATCTAGTCTTTCACAGAAAGTTTGTCAAGCCCTATAAATTAGGAAAAATCCACATTCTTTTTTTGAGAGACAGACATTTTAACATGGTAAGACTCATACAAGAGGAAAAAACCATGATTACTTACATAATTACTTTGACCACAAGTGAAGTGACAGAACACTAGGTACAATTTACTATGAGAAATTATTACATAACACCTTTCACCTTGAACTAGAACATGGAAAACAAAAGTATTTTAGAAAGCATATTTGGAATTGACTAAGGAATATGATCTGGGACTATCTGCATAACTCTGAATGGTTTAATGTGAATAAAACATACCAAAACTTAAATTCTTCCCTCTTCTGAAATAATTAAATGTAAGTCTTTTGTTTCATGAAATGGTTAATTGAAATAGTGTTCTTAAAAAATTACAATGTATTATAAACTAAAGTATGTATAACGAAGGTTACTGTGATAATCCCAGAAGCTATTTGATATTGAAGATAAAGAATATGAAGCAGTGATGACATGAAATTAGTTTGGTTTTTGTAATTACTACAAAACCCGACAATTCTCCATGCTCTATTCCAGAATACTTTTAAGATGGAAATTCTGAAAGTGGAAATGTAATAATGGTTTTACCACAAATACACCAACTTCTCTTGGGCTGAGAAAATACTGGCATTATATATAACAATATTAACATGTTTATACATTATGGAATTAAACATTTTTTACTTGAAACAAGCTTATACTTAATATTTATACATAGCATTAAAAAATTCAATTGTTTCCGAAAGGAAAAGACACCAACATGACCACATGTACCCCAAGGTTTGATAATTTATGCACAAGAAATATACATTAGATATAATAAAATCTGATATCATAAATAGGTGGGCTAATTATAGTATCAAAGCTACTCTTGATCCTCATGAAAATCTAAGTTATAAAAGGTTATTAATAAAACAAGTCAGTAAATACAAATAATCAATGTAATTAAAAAGCAACTGCCAAAACTTTTAGAATGATCACATTGTCATTCAGAGAACTAATATGAAAAAGCCAAAATACCTGTAACACAATTCAGAGTTTAAGTATTCAAAGCAAAAAAACCCCGCCAAAAAAAAAAAAAAAAACACAGTAAGAAAATTCTCCCCCCAAGCAGAACTAGATATATTCTGTGCTACATCAGAATATGTGCTATTCTAACAAAGAATGTATTTAATCAGACGTATATCTGCTTTGGGCCTCATAAAAAATGTCCCCAAGTCAAACTACTATATTACCTTTCTGTGCCAAAATGAGCAATATTTTATTTCAAACAATTCTAGAAAAGGCAATTTTATAAAATACTAAATCCAAAAATTTCTCCTGACTTAAGTAAATAAGGCAAGAAATCATGGGAAAATCAGCAAAAATCAAAACAGAATGAGGCACATAAATTGAACACTTATGTATTTCAGTTAAAAAAAAAAAGCATCAGGCCGGCACGGTGGCTCACGCCTGTAATCCTAGCTCTCTGGGAGGCCGAGGCGGGTGGATTGTTTGAGCTCAGGAGTTCGAAACCAGCCTGAGCAAGAGCGAGACCCCGTCTCTACTAAAAATAGAAAGAAATTGGCTGGACAACTAAAAATATATATATAAAAAAAATTAGCCGGGCATGGTGGCGCATCCCTGTAGTCCCAGCTACTCAGGAGGCTGAGGCAGGAGGATCACTTGAGCCCAGGAGTTTGAGGTTGCTGTGAGCTAGGATGACGCCACGGCACTCTAGCCTGGGCAACACAGTGAGACTCTATCTCAAAAAAAAAAAAAAAAAAAAAAAAGGGTCATTACCTCAGACAAGTTCAGTTTCATAAAACTGATTTTCAAAGTGACATGCCAAGACACAACAGAAAAGCCTTAGTTCAAGACTTTTTTGGCAATGCAAAGGTCCATTACTGTTCGATGTCAACCAAAAGAATACACTTTCACAATTATCCTTTAACATGTTTATCCTTAAAATTCCCTGTGAAGATACACACATATGATTTTCTCTCTTTTGTATCCCAAATTCTACGGTAATTACTTCTCTTCTTGGTGACTTGTCATTTTGTGCAGGTATACTTTCCCTTAATGGAATTCTTCCTTAGGAGTTTTGTATAAAATAAATTGACATTTAAAATATATTAGAATGGTGTGTTATTTAAAGGAATTACACTTAGATCTGGTAAGGAAAGGCTCTCCTTTTAAGAAAACAACCACTTCATGTGTTGTATTTTAAATCTAAATTTACATATTGTGTTTACTGACGTAAAGTAACCTAGTATTTACCAATCATTATAAAACCACCAAAAAACAAATGTGAAAAAAATTCATATACTGTTTGAAAGTATAATCCTAAAAATTCTTATTCTTGGGAATATTTAATGAAACCATTCTTGTGAAATGTGATATTGAATGATTAAACAGAATTTATTGGAGTTAATTTTACATACCTTGGACTTGAGGGAACCTTCCCAATTTTCATCCACAGACTTCAAGAATAGCTCCTGCATAGAGCTACAAAAGGAAAAACAGGAATTTAAAAAATTGGTATAAATTTAAATATGTACTTATGAAATAAATATAAAGTTTCATAGTATAAACATTATAGTTAAGCAGGTATATAGATCAAAGAAATGTCAGAGGTGGACAGGACCATGTAGTTCTAATCCAACAGAAGAGAAAATGGAGGCTCAAGTATTATAAATGGTAGAGGACCTTATGCCCTACTTGGATTATTTTTAAGTCTAGCAAAAAGACAGAAGGAGATAAGGAAACTTGACAGTGAACTTTAATAGGTAAGATGTCCCAGGAAGCTCTGTACAAAATTTTAAAAGATTTCCAACAGTTTTTTTAGGGTGATAAATTAAACACAAGTATATATCCATCTATCAAGATAGATACTTAATGAAAATTCTTTCTGGTTGCTTTTAATATTAAGTGATCAATGTTTTAGAATTTAACAAAAGCTCAATACCTTTTAAAAGTAATTATCATAGAAAGTACTGTGTAAAGATATTATAGGCAAACCAGTAAAATCTCATTATAAAGAACTCAAATGCAAATATTTCCCTTTAATGAAATTCAGTTGAAATGGATTCAATGGTAAATATCGCCTCTTTAGCTATAGAACCTGCACATTCTCTTTATGGTAAAAGCTCATTATAAAAAACTCAAATGCAAATATTTTATTGCAGTGAATTCAGCTGAAATGGATTCAATGGTAAATATCACCTTTTTTGTAGCTGTAGAGCCTCTCCATTCTTTTTATAGGGGCAGGGATATATTTGGGAATGTTGTGACTGTAAGAGAAGGCTGGCAATTTCAAGAACAGACCATACCCACTTCATTGCTTCTTAGTTTTCAGATTTGCTTTTTATGGAGGTCCGATATATAAAGATGGATTTCACTTTTTAAAGTTCTAAAATAGCATTTACTTGATTAAAAAAAAAATCACAGGCACTATACATGTTTATTTAAAATACTTTGAAAAATACAAAGTAGAAATTTAAAAATCACCTTAATTTGATCTAAAAAGATAATAACTTTTAACATTTTGTTGATTCTGGGCTTGATCGAGAGTTCTTAAATTTTTGAAAGATCACAGGTCCATTTGAGAATATAACAGAATTTTTCTTTAATCTGGCTGTTCATGGACTCTCTGAAACCACTGATGGATTTCAGATTAAGAACTCATGATCTCTAAGAGTCTTTGCAGCATTAAAAATTTAAGAATAGGTTAACTTAATTCTATACAATAAGTTGCTTTTGAATGAGACTTAGTTAATCTTGGTGAGGTAACTTCAGAAAAAAAAAAATCCTAAAAAATATAAGGCCATGTTACCAATAAGCTAATGAAGAGACAGATGCTCAACATCATCAATCATTAGGGAAATGCAAATCAAAACTGCAATGAGATACCACTTCACTCTCATTAGGATAGTTGTTATGAAAAAAAAGGCAAGGATGTGGAGAAACGGGAACCCTTGGGCACTGCTGTTGGGAACATGAAGTGGTGTAGCTGCCATAAAAAATGGAATTGTGGTTCCTCAAAAAATTAAAAATAGAATTACCAAGTGGTCCACAATTCTACTTCAGATATATACTCAAAAGTGAAAGCAAGGTCTCAAGCAGATTTTTTATACACTCATGTTCATAGCAACATTATTCACAACAGCCAAAGGGTGGAAACAATCCATGTGCCCATCAACGAATGAATGGGTAAACAAAATGTGGTATACACATACAATGGAATATTATTTGGCTTTAGAAAGGAAGGAAATTCTGATGCACATTACAACATAAAGGAACCTTGAAGACACCTTGCTAAGTGAAATAAGGTAATCACAAAAGGACAAACACTGTATGATTCTACTTAAATGAAGTAACTGGAGTAGTCAAATTCAGATACAGAAAGAATGGTGGTTGTCAGGCGCTTGGGGAAGAGAGGAACAGGGAATTACTGTTTCATGGGTATAGAGTTTCAGTTTGGGAAGATGAAAAAAGTTCTGGAGAAAGATGGTGATAACATGGCCATACACAACAATGTGAATGCACTTAACGACACCGCACTGTACAATTAAAAATGGTTAAGATGGGGAATTTTATGTATGTATATTTTACCACAATTAGAAACATATAAGGCCATATTAAAATTTGTTTATTAGATTTATCTTTTGTTTGTGATCCCTTGGAAACTCTTGGTGCAGATTCCACTGCCTTACATGATAATAGCATTTTTCTATACCACTGTTTCCCAATATTCTTCGTATCATGATACATGTGGAAAATGCTAATGATTATATGGAGCACTGAGGTAAAAGGAGGAAGCTGCTTATAATTGGGGATGACTAGCCTGGGAGCCCTGCTTAGCTCAGGTCCCACACGTGTTGTCTCAAGGGTTCAAAGTCTCAGTATCCCACCACACCTATAATCCATTCATGGAAAGCATGTCTCTACACCACAAAATACCAACTGATTAATTAAAAATATTAGAAACATATCCTTTAATCAACAGGCAGCTCAGATGTGACTTCTTCCAGGAAAATGTGTTGATTTCCTAGTCTCAGGGACTTTTCCAGTAAACTTTCACAGAACTCTGCTCTGCTCAACATAATGAACATCAAATATTCTATAACTTGACTGTCGGCAGCAAATGTCTTATCTTAATTTTTCCCCAGAACTGGACACAAAGCTGCTCAATCTATGTGTGTGCTGAAGGGAGAGAACTATTCACTTAACAAAATTAAATGCCTCTTTTTTCATCACGTAACTTTAAAAATATTTCAAGTTCCTTTGACATACTCTGTAGAGTAGTTCCAGTCCAGGGTAATCAAAAGAAAATGTAACTCAAAGTTAGAAAACATTATTAATTTAAAGTCAAATTCTGAAAGCATAATTTGTGATGCTAGTTGGCATTTTACTTATGAATTTGTAGTGTTCATAGGAAAATATTTGTTTTTCATGGTGAATAAATAATTTAAATTAACTACAGATTACAGTGAATTTTAAATGCTTTATAAAGTAATCATAAGTACCCTTGGCATCACACACAAATTCACACACAATGAAATACATGCTACTTATTATTTATATAGTAAGACTTCTCTATTGCATAAAGTATGAAAATACTAAAAAAAAATGTTAAAACTTGGAATTCTTTGACTTTAAGTTTTAATTTTAGCATTTTTACTTTCTTCTTTTCTTAAGAGACAGGGTTAGGGCGGGCGTGGTGGCTCATGCCTGTAATCCTAGCACTCTGGGAGGCTGAGGCGGGTGGATCGTTTGAGCTCAGGAGTTCAAGACCAGCCTGAGCAAGAGTGA